AAGATACCAATATTAACGGTATATTGCCAATCGTGTGGTGATAACCAGACATATAATATCCACAGATGATTTTGCTTGTTTTTCATGCCACCAACAAGGCCACACGCGTAGAAACTGTCCAAATAGAGAGCCTATTGATGGCGCTATTCACTTCGTGTTTCACGGTGCGAAATTGTCTCATATTATTAGGCCAATGAAAAAAAATGCGAGTTAGGGTTTTGTTTCGTTTCGTTTCGTGGAAAAGACTAAGCCAAAACCAAGACAAAGAAAACAATGATAATAGAATGGAAAGTTAGACAGGTTTGACTGAAACAAAAACCGCAGATAATGACATTGTCAACAATAATGGCTGCTAATCCCCCCCCTTTTTTTTTTACAGATGACGAGTCGGCGTAGTGAGGAAAATACGTCTGACAAAACAGTGTAAATATAACATATATAAACGCAGACAACGGTATAGATAATGTGTTACCCCCCATAGAATCAAACCATGATAACGTTCTCAGTAGAATGGAAGTTGACAACAGATGTAAGAAACGCACGCGATCAACCGATAGCGGTGAAAGGCAAATTAATTTGGGTAAAAATCAATATAATACTAACAATGAAAATGTTGTTACATAAGTTGAAGAGAGGGTACAAACCCTTTCCTCCTTGCCTCTCTCCCCTCTCCATTTTTGAAACCTCCCAGTGAGACACCTCCTTACGTGTACGCAGAGGTTACCTACCTTTGCTGAAATTGCAGCTCGTAAGCCACCTCACCCCACCCCACCCCACCTCACCCCACCTCACTCTACCCCACCCCACCCACCTCTCTGGCTGGTCACTGCACCTTCTATTGCTGCAGCGCACGATATGTCTTTGTCTCCATTCACACCGACTTGCATTGATGAATCACCAAGTTTTTCACCACTGAACTAAGTCCCAAACTAATCAGGGCCGTTGCTACACAAGATATTTACATCATCCCCAGCATGGAGGTAAAAAGAGATCCCCAGTGACCCGGAAAAAACGGGGACATAGAAGACGACAAGAACAGTGAAGATGAGGGGGGTGATGGAAGGAATTACTTTAAATGTTAATGGGTGTCGTGATTCCATGAAAAGGTTTTGAATTTTTGAAGCGCGAGCAACAAACCCCGCGACTTTTACTTTTTGCAGGAAACGCATTCTTTGGCTTCCGATGTCAATGCCTGGCAAGTTGTGCGGCGAGGTGTTGGTTTTCCACGGGACTACCAATCACGCTGGTGTGTGAATTTTCTTCAATTCAAATATTGTTGTTTTATCACAAACACATATTATTCGTGGTTATCTTTCACACGCACATGTAAAAATTAAATTAATAGTCCGGTTCATCTTTTCAAAGTTTACGCGCCAACTAATAGTAATGAGAGCATTGAATGTTTTCAAAAACTTAAAAATCATCTCAACAATCTTAACAATGACCCAGAGATAATAAGGGGGTGATTTTAGCTGCACTCTTTCACCTGAACTTGATCGCAATGGCGGCAATGAGCCAGACATACGCGCGTCCCGCTCGCTCAATAATGTCTTAGAGCGAT